GTCATCAAAAACCCAATGGCATGGGTGGGAGCCCGTTCTCACAATGGCCCCAGTGCTCCTCACCTCCTGGCATTCCTGCTTGTGTCCCTTCCCACACTGAACAGGGCTGACCTGTGTAACCCACAGGATGTAGAGGAAGTGACAGCACGTGACTTCCAAGGCTTGCGCATGGAAGACAGGCGACCACCTCCTAGTTCTCTCTCGGATGGCACACCAGGCAAGCCAGCTGCTATGTTGTTAGGACACTCAAGCAGCCCTAGGGCGAGGCCCCCATGGCGAGCCACAGGCCTCCTGCTGACAGCGAGCAGCAACTTGCCAACCTGGAAGCAGGTGCTCAGCCCAGAAAGGCCCTCAGAACCCTGCAGTACTGGCTGACCTCTGACAAACCGCAGGGGAGACCCCAGGCTACACAGCTTCCAAATTCCTGACCCACAGAAACTGCATGAGACAAGAAACATGGATTGTGTTTTAAGGCATCATTTAGTGATTTGTCGAGGAGGGACAGGTAACCGATCCAGGGCCTCCTCACAGAGCTGCACCAGAACTAGCAGTGCTTCCACAGGCACGCTCACACGCCATTTCAGCACTCTGAAACGGCCAGGGATCTTAAGAAGTTGGGTGTGTAATGCCAACATATTCAGGCTGAGGGCTTGCCCATCAGGTACCTCCTTCCCAAGGGGAAGGCCTTTTTCAAGCACATGTGCTTAGTGTTCTTGGAGGGGCCAGAGACCTGCAGTCTTGACCGCCAATGTCACAGATAAGCAGTTATTCAGAGTAACAGGCAGGAAGGGCCCTGACTTGGTGCACCGGGACACCCAGAACACCTGCCTGACTCGCCAGTGCTCCTGCCCTGGCCATGTGTCCTCAGGCAGCCACTTCTCCTGTCAAGTGAAACAGAAACACCTTCAGGGCTGTGTGAGAAATAAATAAAGTGACACATTTGACAAGTCCTTGCTTGGTGCCCAGGTGCTGAGGAGTTCAACAAATATCACTAACTTTCAATAAAATGAAATCAAATCCTGAGTGTAACTGGTCAATTATAAACTGTTAAAGAAAGGGAAATATTCTCTGATAACAGGAAAGCAATAAAAAGAGTAAGTTCTGTAATGTCAGCAAGGTCGAGACTCACCCACTGGTCAGGCTATGATGGCAGCCGGCCTACCTCCAAATTCCAGGGACTCAGGAACAGGGTTTTAGAAAGAATCTCAAAACTGTGAGCCTTTCACACTTTGCCCTCATTGGGGGCCAATTTCTGTGATCTGGGTTCAGCCCCAGTTTTGAGGGCCAGCTCCAGGTCTGGCCTTGCTCTCTGGGCTCTGCCCAAGCCTACTGGGTGGCCAGACTCAGCAATGGCTGAGTTTAGGTCTAGGAGAGTCTGGCCCACAGAGCCAGAAGACTATTTTAAAGACTATCTTTGGGTTCTTTCATGTATTGTTGGTTTGTGCTAATAAGGACATTTTTGGAGGCAATATGACAGAACCTATCAAGAATTAAAATGTGTAACTTCAGGAATCTAGCCTACAGAAATACCAGCATTGGAGCAGCAGGATATAGGTGCCTTTTAAATGCCAAGATTTATAATAGGAAAAAACCTTCATGTCCAACAATAGGAAAAAGGTAACACAAATTAGCAAGATACATAGGATGACACCAATTTTACAAAAAAAAATTTTTAAATACTGAATGTCTAAACATGTATTTCTTTTTTTGTGTCAGGGAAAAGCTCTGCACAATATCCACTAAACCATTAGCTGTTGCCACCCCTGGAAAATAGGAGCAAAGGTGGAGTAGGCTTTATTATCATAGAGATTTCTGTACGGTTGATACTTTTTTTTTTTTTTACAATGGGAAGTAAAATTTGGAAATGAAAATCATCAGTCTAGCTCACCACACTTCCCCGCAGCATTCTTCCCTCACCTCACCTGGCCCCTGCACACCACTTGGCCACCCCAGAGCAGAGCTCCCTCCAAGCCCCAGGGTCTGGCCCTGTGGCCTGAGGGGAGATACGCCTGGCCCCCAGGAAGAGGCCTAGACCCATCTGAGGACAGCTTCCTGGACTGGACCCCAGAAGAGCATGAAGGAGCTGAGGAAGGGGTGGCAGGACAGTGAGCCTCCCCGTGCCCGAGCCAGCAGGGGCGGCCCTGGGGTGAGCAGGGGCTACGTGGGGAGAAGAGCTCAACCAGCTGGGTAGGCGGCCCTGGTGGAAATGCTCAGACTTCCTGTGACAGTAATGTCCAGTAAGACATCCCCACCACAAGGAAAGAGACATCCGCACCACCTCATCTGTGGGACTGACCTTCCTCATACAGGAAAACAGAACATCTCCAAGGCTGAAATGCACTGGGCTAGATGCCTAACATACTCAAACCTATATTCAAATGAATTCATTTCAAGCTGTTGTTCCTTGTTTTTTATTTATTATCGTTTAAGAGAAAATTTCCTATATTTTAATAGCAAAAAAAAAAAAAGAAAAAAAGTGATTGCAACTTCACTATGTGAGGTTTTCTGAACAGAGGCACACCCAGTGTGTCTGTGGAGTGCCCTGTCTAGCCTCTTCTGTTGGCAGATGGCCCCCAGGTCCCCTGCCCAGCCCCACAGAGCCTAGGCGCTTCCCACCAGGGCAGCTGGGAGTAACCGGTTCCACACCTGTAAGACCTCCTTGCCGTTCTGTATCCCCTCTTGGGTCCACAGGGCAATGAGTTGCTCGGGAAAGGCAAAGCCAGTGCCGTTGTCAACGCTGCAGAAGAGGCGCAGGCCTGAGCACATGGACACAAGGGAGGACGTCGTGGTGGAATGGCAGTCACCCTCTTCCAGGACCTGTGCATGGGGAACAGGGAGTTACCTGTGAGCACACGGGCCTCCCGAAGCATGTCTGCTCATCTTTAATATTTTCTGACCACACCAGCCTGTGCTCAGCCTTTCGCTGTCTCATTGAAGCCTGATACAAACAACTCACACGGTTACTGTCAGCCTCATTTCCTAGGCAAGGAAACAAAGGCATGCACCATTGCACAATTTGCTCATGATTGCACAGCACTGCAGGTGGCAGAGCAGGGTTTTGAACCCAGGGCTCCTCATATCCAGTTCTGCCCTCTCTCGAGGACCTTGGGTACCTCCTCTCCTGACATCCATCCAAGGCCCTGCATAGGCAGTGTGTCCCGACCAGTAAGCACACACTACTTAGTGGGAAACATGAAGGTGTTGTAACATCTCTCCCCTGAATCAGTAATGGTGTGTGCCTGTCCTCACAAAAGAAGAGCCCAAGAAGGCACATGCCAGGGCTGGAAAACGCAGTCTGTGGAAAGAAACCCAAGATGGACTTAAGGAGAAGAGGTAGGTCAGTCTGAGCATTTCCTCAGGACACAGAAACAGGCTTAGGTAGTTTTAAGATGAAGGCAAAAAAACCTCGGCCAGAAAGCTGACCTGTTAAGCTTAGGTGCTATAAGAATCCACAGGGCAAGATTATTTTACTTGCTGTTTTCTGCCCCATGGCCCTTCAGAACAAGCATTTGCTGTCTGGGGCCACAGGAATGGGCAGCAGCAGCAGCACCTCCCTGCAGGCCACCAGTGATCCTGCCATACCTGTACGGCCATCCTCACCGGCCTCCTCTCGTCCCCTCTTCGTGGGCTCAAGTGCCTCCTTGCTCTTCCTGAACATTCCAAGCCTGTCCTGTTGCCTGAAATGCTTTCCCCCAATGCTTCCATGGCTGGTCTCTTGCTGGTCCCTTGCTTATGGCTTTGCTCAGATAGCGCTCCCCGGGACTGGCCAAGCTCCCGCCAGCCCACTACCTCCCCTCACAGCACTTACTTCTTCAGCAGGAGCTCACTGGCCTTTGTGCGGTCTGCCTCTCCTGTGGATGCAGCAGCCAACTGCCCTTGTCTGCTCTGAGCTGTGTCCCTATTTCACCATAAACAGTTACTTACGGACTGGGTACTCACTGAGCTGTGCTGAGCACCTTGTAGCCTTACAAAGTAGGTATTTTATCCCATTTGCAGAAGGGGAGAGGGCAGCTCAAGAATGTATGGCCACCATGTAGAAACTCAGATATCTACATACACCTGGACCACCCTAGTCTCCCTCCCACCTGCTTCCTCTCTGAGGACTGTGAGCTTGGGAACAGGGGACACCATATGGGGCCTGGATGGGGCTGAGGCAAATCTCCATCTGCAACACACATCTGAGGGCCCAGCACTAATATGTCATGTCAGTCCACAAGCACAGGATGTGACACCCTCCATCCCACAGTCATGTCAGCTAGGGGCACTTCCCGGGCAATCCTCTGGCTGTCAGCATCTAACCTGAGGTGGGTCCCACCTGGCCTTGACCTGTGCCATGGCCCAGGCTCCTCTCCAGCTGGGCCTCTATATCACGACATGAGAACAGGGATGGCTCCCCTCAGAGGAGGCAACCTCCCTCCACTGGCTCTCAGAATGACTCATGGGACTTCACTGTGGTCTCTGACCTTATGTGGCCTGACACCTTCCCTCAGCACTCCTAGTCTCTACTTTGTCTATTTTCGTTGACTTCAGATTCAGAAACCTGATTCTCAGATTACTCAGCCTGGCAGAGAACAATGTTACTGGTCCTGCACCACTGCCCACAAATAATGGGATCAGCCACATCAGCAAAGCAGCACTGGCAAGATTCCCAGAGCAACTGCACTAAGCTGGGAGAGGGTGGCCTTACTGTCTCAGCACTGAGAAAACCAGGTACTGGGCCAATAGTCACCAAACAAAAATCACAACTTAACTCCCTAAATCTGCTCTCCTCCAACTGCAGAGACCTAGTATTTGTATGAGAGACAAAATTCGGGACTAGAGGACAGGGAGAGCACAGGTTAATGAGTCCTTGGAGGGTAATCCTAAGGAAGGCTCAGAATCATTCAGTGACATGGCTCTTACTGCACCACAATGGAGAGGAGGGAGAGGACGTCCTCCTATTGGGATGTAGTGTATCCTACACTGAGGAGACGTAGTGAGAAACTGCCATGGAAGCCTCATAAAACCCACATGAGATGCGCACCCATTTCACAGACGAGGAGCCAGAGGCTCAGAGAATGTAACTCACCCAGTGACACACAGCTAGGCAGGAGCAAGCCAGATCAACTCCAAGGTCTGTGTGGTTCTAAATCACATGGCCTCTCACTTACACACATATGTATATACATGCCCTGACCAACTGCTGGGCAGCTCACCGTGGGGACACAGGCAGAGGGGTCAGGTCTGTGAAAAATGCTGAAGGCCAGAGAGTGACAGCAGTTTCTGCTGTGATTCAGTGTTTAATCATCCCATCCTACCTGGTAATGAGACCAGGACCTGCTCTGTTTGACAGGAGAGGAAGATTCCAGAAGTGAAGTGGGCCCGTGATTAAACAGGCCAAGCTGGAATTCCTCAAGGCTCACTCTGCCATCTTGGTCTTGATCCAGTTTGTTAAATAGGTCTTCCAATTCCTAAACAAAATCCATCACACCTCGGCTCAGAAGCTGTACCCACAAGCAGCTACATGCCAGCTACAATCACCAGGCCAACCATCCTCCCTCTCTCCCTCCCTTCCCAAGCAGGGCAGTTTGCTTGTTCTCATTCAAACTCAAACTGCCGGGTCACATCTGGCCTCCACTGGCTCTGGCTTGGGAAATCTACACGCATAGTCAATTTTCATCCTGCTGTGAATGGGCGCTACCTGAACTCCCTGAATTCCACAAATGCTCATTTAGAGTCTACTGTGGCAGGAACTTGCTTGATGATGGGAGGACGATGTACATATGGAGCATGGCCTGGGCCCTCAGAGGTTCAGAGTCTCGCAAGGGTAGCAGGGCTGAGGGGGCATTAGCAAGTGGGGGGCCTGCCCTGTCACCACTGCCTGTTCTTCCGCCCCTTGGCTCTGCAGGAGGACAGGATGGGTGAATACGAGGCAGGATAGGTAGCCTAGGAAATTGACAACTCCCTCCAGGGTACAATGTGAGGTGCCCCACTGGTTACATAAACAAGTGACTCTATCAGGCACCTGCAGCTGGAGAAAAATAAAAACCAGTTTCATCCAGCAAAGCTAATCCCTATTACCAGAGATCTGACCTTTAGCCAATTTTAATGTCATTATAATGTCATTTGCATTATGGTTACTACAGCTCCCATCATACATCTGATGCCATGACAGTGCCAAATGAACAAAATAAGGAAGAAAAAGTGAGAAATGGAGGGTCCCGCCCAGGGAGAGGAGATGAATGAACCACAATGGGATGTCACCAGTTCCCACTGTGGGAGGGATAAAAACCCCTGATCATGACTTCCTCTGCGCGTTTTGTTCTCTGACTTTACCCACACTTTCCTCTCAAGTGTGTATTTCCATTTTCAGTAAATCGCTTTCACTTTCCTCCATCTGTCTTGCTCTCGAATTCTTTCTTGGGCAGAGAACCCAGTCACCGCTGCTCTGGGTTGAGTCCTCTCTTGGACATCCCTGAGTCGCCAGTGACAAATACAGCTGCCAGGAGTGTGGCCAAGTTCCAAGGTCATCGTGTTTGGGCTGGGCAGAACAGGGCCGCACAGATAGGGGGAAAGGGTGTTATAGGCGGAGAAAGAATCCTGAGTGAAGGTGCTTAGAAGTCGGGGTGGCTGGGGCCACACCTAATCAGAGATGGACACTCATGGGTGCGGACTTCAGCAGAAGCACTGTGAGTCATCAAAGGATTTTAGACCAAAGAGTGATACAATTGAATCAGTGTCTGAAGGGTAAAGGGATTTTTCAAATCCAACATCAGCCATGGCTGTCGCAAAGAACCAGTCATTGAGGGTGGTCTGTCCTGGTCCCTCTTACCTCTTTCTTGAGTCCCTGGAGTCCGATGCTCTGGCAGACCAGAGCCAGCTCCTGCTCGTTGAGGTGACCACTGCTGCCAACGCCCAGCTCTTCCCAGATACCCTGGACCTGGCTCTCAGGGGTGTCAAACAAGGGGCTGCAGGACTTCTGGGGGCTACCAAAGATCTCAGAACCCCAGGTTGGTAGCTGGCCTGAAGCAGAGGGAATGACAGGTAAAAACCAGTGCTCCAGGTAGAAGCAACGCAACTGCTGGTAATTTACTCTGAAATCAGATGGATGGACAGATGGACACAGGTGAGTAGCCAAGCATCAAAAGTGGAATCTGGGTGGTGGGTACATGAGTGTTCACAGTACAATTGTTTCAAGTTCATTTTGTGTTTGCAAATTTTCATAAAAAAATTTTTTTTGGCAGGGTAGGAATCTCTGCTTCATGTGGGGAAAGCTTTTTCTGAAGGGAATCTACTAAAGTCACACCACTGAAAGCACACAAAAAATTAATTTTTAGATATTTTTCAAAGCTACCAAAAGTAAAGAGCACAGTCCAGTGAACCCCAGGGCACCTGTCTCTCATGTTCTTTGATGATTAAGACTGCCATGCTGCCTTCAACTATCCCCTTTCTGCTATTGCTGAAGTGTTTAAAAGTAAATCCCAGATCTCATGTTTTTACTTTTACATATTTAATATGTATTTTTGAAATATTTGGACATTTTCTTACATAACCATAATGCCACTATCACAACCATAATGCCAAAATCAACAATTTCCCAACTGTCTCAAAAAAGTTTTCTACAATTGATTTGTTTGAATCAGTACCCAAACAGAATCCCCACAGTGCATTTGGTTATGTTACTTCTCTTAAGTCTTTCAATCATGAGCACCTGCCCTGCTCCTCAACACCTAGCATTGCCTTGTTTAAGAAATGGGATCAGCAGTTGTTCTATAGAATGTCCTCCATTTGGATTTGTCTGCTTCTTTATGGTATCATGTAACTTATTCCTCCATCCTTAATAATGTCTGTAAACATGAAGTTAGCATCAAAGGCTAGTTTGTAGTTTGGGTTCAGTTTTTTCTTGACAAAAACACTCTACAGATGGGACTGTGTACTCTACATCACCTCACATAAGGAGGCGCAGGTGCTTTTTGAAATGCAAAGACTCATCAGTGGATTTGGGTGACAGATGGCCAGTTTTCATAACTTTTCTACTTCAGCCAGTTGGCTTACTGATATTTCTAAAGCTCTGCCAGAGAAACAACTTGTGGAAGAGGACATATGTTGGGGGTGCCCATGAGGAGCTATCCATGGATGAGTACACTTCAAACCAGACATTCACCTCCATAACCAGCCCAACACAGACAGAGGGCAGCTTCTACCTAACTCAGACTTGAGCGACTAGAGTTCTATATCAGTGATTTGGAACTGTCCGGTAGATGAGCCACCTTGGCATTAATTACTTTGATAATCCAACCAATAACCAGAAAGCCACTTTCCTCAAGAAAAGCCAGGCCTGCGTGATCACAAATGCTGCTATAGGATGGGGCTGAGGAAAATGCAAGGAAAGGGCCAGACAGGAAAGGGCCACGTCTGAGATCCCTTCCAACTTAAAATGTCTGAAATTTCTAGAAAAATTTAAAAGCAATTCTGATATTGGGGTTTATTTCTCAGGGCTGGTAGAGGAGGTAAACAAATCCTTTGAGGTTTGACATGAGTGTCAGTGCACTACTGCTGGTTTTAACCGGGATGAAAAGTTTTCTGTTTAAGGTTGGGAGAAAGCCAGCCTGCTGTGAAGGCAGAGAGCAAGCACCATATCGCCCTGTGAATAACCTGCTCCAAGAGCCCTTCCTGAGACTCTGAGTCCAAGGAAATTGAGATGTGATGGCTTGGCTGCTCTTCTTAACACAAAGGGGTCTATCTGCTTCGTCCAGCAGCACAGGCAGATGTTCAGGTCAGTTTCCCTGACATCTACCGAGGTAAACGTTGAACAAACAATGGCCCTACACTTGAAGACCACAATCTAGAGGATGCTCAGTTTCAACTGCTAATTTTTTACTGCAGCAGAAATTCAAGGTGAACTCTGGTCTCCCTCTCTCCAACCCAAGTTTCTGTACTTTCTGCCCTGTGACACATCACATGCTGATGCACTGTAATTTGCTTAAGTACACTCACTGCTGCCTTGCAGTTGTTACTGTAGGCTCCTCAAGACCAGCATCATGTCTTGCATTCTATTTGCACAGGTTCCCTGGTGGATGCCAAGACTGTGCCCCCACAGCAAGGAAGAGGCTGCACCCAGATCTGTGCACCAGCAAGGGAGTGCAGGGCCTGACCTGGGAGCAACAGGCCTGAGACCACACCTGCCAGCTGAGGTCATGCTGGTCCTTCCAGACTGTGAAATGCGGCAGAACCACACTGTTCCCTTAGCCAGTGGCCTCTGTCCAAGGGTCTGATGTCAGGGGATGCTAAGAACCAAGTGACAGCCTCATACCTGTCACCACCCTGGAGAAGGGGCCCACCAGGCACACCACCCACACTGCACACTTCCCAGGAAATTACCGTATTTCCCCATGTATAAGACGCTCCCATATATAAGACGCACCTTAAATTTGGGGCCCCAAATTTGAAAAAAAAAATGTATTACATAAAGTTATTGAACTCAAGTTTTATTCATCATAAAATTCATACAACTCCTCATCACTATCAAAACTCCCAACCATTAGCTTGTCCTCATCTGTGTCTGATAACAAATCCCTGTCTTCATATATTGCCTTGTCCTCAGCGGGAAATTCAAATAAAAAAAATCTACAACCACTGTATAAGACGCACCCAGTTTTTAGACCCCAAATTTTTTGAAAAAGGGTGCATCTTATACATGGGGAAATACGGTACACTTGGCTGGCTCACTGTCCAATGACCCAGCTTGTGGAGCTTTCAAAGCACTGGTGAAAAGGCAGCACCAAGCATGAGGCTGTGGCTTTACCTTGTGTTTCAAACAACTCATTCTGAGATTCTTTAGCACTTTCAGCTTCTTCATCTGACTTGAGACTCTGCAGAAAAATGAAAAAAGAAGGACACAAATCCCCCAGAGGATGTGGCAGTAGGCAGAGCACAAGCAACAAGTGGACAGTATGTCTTGGGGCCAGGTAGGGACAACTGAGGAAGAGCTGACCAACAGCCTTGTGAGATGCAACATCTCCAAAGAAACCCCCAGCACTGCAAGGCAGCCTTCGCACCCAACCAGCAGTTCACAATGAAAACACAGTCAAGCTTTCTCACTCTAACAGAAGAGTGGCCCTGGACCTTTGATTAACATTCCATCACAAGATAGGATCTCAACTTGAGGCCTGAAGGTCCTCACTTCTCTGCGTCCTGTCGCTTATCACCTATATCAGTTCTGCAAACAGTTGGAGGAAGAGCAGGTCTCTTTGTCCATCCAGGGGCTCCTAGGACAGCACAGTGCAAGGAAAGCACCTGACACCTTGGTGCCCTTTGTAAGCTGCATCTCAAAGGAGTCAGGCCATCAAGAAATGTCTGACTCAAGTAAACACCTTATATTTTTGTGACCAAGGCAGCTGGCCACAAAATCAAAATCTGCTTCTGAAAGGTGCCTGTTTCCCATGACTGATTTTAGAATAAGTGTTGGTTGACGAAGACTCAGTACTCCTCAGAGCTGCAGGAAGCGATGAAGGAGCAGTTGGTATGTCCCATTTTTCTAATGCATGCAACCCAACTGACAACACTAAAAGCAGTGTTCCCTGTGTTCTAGTTCTGGGAATCAAAGATGTTTTTAAGAAGCAGAGTACCACAAAGATGGACCAACTCATCCCCGCATCCCTAAGGGCCAAGTTAAAAAGAGAATAAAAATGTGAATGTCCTGGGTTTGTTGGCATTGCCCAGGTGTAGCACATCACTGAGACAAGAGACTTTAGGATCTAGATGCATACAGTCAAACCTTGGATTGTGAGTGACGTGGTTTGTGAGTGTTCCATAAGATGAACAAACATTTCTAATACATTTTAACATGGTAAACGAGCAATGTCTTGCAATACGAATAGTTTGTTTCCGGAACGAATTATGCTCACAAACCAAGATATTACTGTATTTGTTTTCTTTTTTGCCTCAATAAATGTTGAACATATAAACAAATTAATTTGGGGGCCCAGGGTTGTCTCATTAAAGATAAGTCCCCATATCGGTCCATCTGAGAGATGTCATTGAGAGCAGAAACCACAAAACTTCTGGAATCCTTGAAAATAGGTCGAAGAAGTCCACAATTAACTCACAAACTGTGGTTCTCACCCTTGGACATACTTCTTGACACGAAGGTCATGAGGCTCCAGCAGCCCATTTCCTGGGTCAGTCCCTGAGCTGCAGTGAACAGCTCAGGGAGACTGGGGGCTAGTCAACACCCAAAGCCTCAGAGGATCTGGCATGTGCTTGCCAAGCTGTAAATGTGTGGATTGGGATATTCTAAGTGTTCAAGGCAGGTGGGATGGTGGCCTTGGTACATTCAAATTTCCAATCTTGCAGCTGCATTAGAAAGGTACCTTCCTTTTTCTATCCTTGGCCAATTACCACTTCACACTTCGCCCCAACAGAAGTCATGTTCCTTCTTGCAGTGCCAGGAAAAGGTGGCGGTAGTGAGCAGGGCAGGGACAGCAGGAAGTGATTTGCGTACAAACGCTCCACCACCCCAATGTCTCAAGGAGTATGCTCTGTGGCTGGAATTTCCCTGCAGACAAGTAGATTTAGAGACTTTTTTTTTTTTTAAGATTTTATTGGGGAATTGGGGGAGGGGAACAGACAAGTTGCTGTCCTTTTTGTTCTTCAGTCTAGCTGTGGAGGATGTCGTTTCACTCGCCCATGTTAGTATTGTGATCATTGCGCTCTTCCCGGGTGAGGCAGATAGGCCGCAGGCCACCGGATGGCCGCTCACGGAGGCTCCTGGCAGCTCACGCTGGCTGCCAGCCGCTCATGACAGCTGCCAGCCACTCACAGTAGCTTACAGCAGCCCACTGCAGCCTCACTGCAGCCTACGCCGGAGCTGGCAACTGATGGCAGCCCAGCTTCAGGTCAAGCTATTGTTGACTATCCTAGCTGTAGAGGGCGCAGCATCACTGGCCCTCATGTGGGATCCGAACCGGGGCCCTGCTGCTCAGAGCTGGCATTCCAAGCCAAATCTTAACCAATGTGCCACTCGGCTGGCCCCTGGAGACACTTTAGAATGATACGTCATTCTCAAAATTGCACCCACACTTCTGGCGACGAAACACCCAGGAATGCCTGTCTCCCCCTTCACATCTTCCTGTAGTGAGCAGTGACTAAGTAAAACATTATTTCCCCAATGCTGGGCAACCCGGGGTAGGAAAGAGGGACCTGACTTACCTCCACACTTTCCAGAGATATAGAGCGTCGGAGTTGGTGTCTCACAGTGGCCTTGGCTTGCTGTTCTGCTAAACATTTGGCTCCAGTCACAGAGTCGCACAGCTCGGGCCGGCTCCTACGACCGTACCATTTAGAGCCACTCACATACTTGGGTGGGACAGCACGGGAGGCAGCTGGAAAGAAAATGGGAGGTTTGTGGGGTGGGCCTTTAAAGCAGCCTCTGGACCCACACATGCCACTGAGATGCCCTTTAAGAAGATTCAGAGTGTGTCTTGCACTGACGGACATGCTTTTATGCACACAACACACAAATTATAAAAGTGAACCAGCATCCTAAGATGCTTAACGATAGAGCTGGGAGGACTATGGGTGGAGCTGGGCCCCTTGTTAATTCTCTAGTCTTGACTTCCTGTTAAACTTTGTGGTAACTTCCAAGGGAGGGATGTAGAGAAGCCATCTTAGAATTGGGGGCTTTTTGCACGTGTGCGGCCGGTTGGAGCGCAGGTAAGAAGTGTGCACTGGGTGACCTCGTTTCTTTTTCTACTCCCGAATAAACCACTCTTTTGGTGGATTTTCTGGAGAGTTATTTTGGCCAGTCAACAGAGAAAATATCTGGAAGAACACAGAAAACAGTTAACAGCAGTTATCCTATTCTCCAGGGCAGGAACTAAGAAAGACAGGCTGGAAGACAGGGACTTTCCACTCTAAACTCTACATGCTATTTAAATTTTTCAAGCATGTTTTTCTTTGTTTATGTAATAAAAGACTAATACAAAATCTAGCTTTTTTAAAATGTCTTTTATGTAAAGAAATAAAAACTTCCAATAATTCAACAACATACCACTCTAGAAACAGGAAGGTCACTTTCCACCCTGTTCACTCTAGGACCCCATCCCAAGGGACTGGAGGGTGCATATGGGTGGACAAAGACCTCAGCTACAGCTTCAGAGGCTCAGGCTTTGTGCAGGTCTAAAGTCTGGGGCACAGGCAGGCATGGATCTTAGTTTTGGGATTCATGAGAACTCTGACCCGTAATAATCTCTTGCACTTCCTTTTCCCCCCTTACCTGTCCACGTCTGCACAGAGCATCTGGGATCTCTCAGGTAGAGAAGACACGGCACTGACTCTGTGCAGAATCCTGGGCAGGCAGGACACAAGACGGGGGAGGGAGGAATGGGCAGCACCAAGGACAGGACATGGAGTCAGAGGGAAGCAACCAGAATGGGCCAACTGGAGAGACAGGAATAGGGCCCCGTGAGGCCAGGCCAGGCCAGGCCAGGAAAACGAGGAGCACTTCACTGCAAATGTGTCTTGGGCCTCACCCCAACAGAAATCACGCTATTTAAAGCCAAGTACCACCACATTTCTTTCCTTCATGCCCCAAACAGCTGGTCCACAGTCCCTGAACTTGGGACCATCAGAGGAGGAGGCTGGGTCCATCCTGGCCAACCAGAAGAATAGTAATGTCAGTGACACACAGAAACTGGGATGCGGGATGAGTTTCCAGGAGGATGCTCAGTTCCACATGGGACATGCCGGATATGAAGTGACAGTGTGACATTTAAGGCAGCTAACAATATTCAGGTTGACTAATTTCTCACCTCAGTGGGATACTTTGAGGTAATTATAGGCACTATTACTAATCACCCTGGGACAATAGGCATTGACAGGGCCTGGCCCAACAAACTCTCAAGGTGTGACAGAGCTTATGGGACGTCCTGAAAAGAAGGGCAAAGCGTTCAAGTCAGCAGAGGGAAAACAAGAGAATCTGTGAGCAAACTTGCCGGTGTTCAGAAGGGGAGAACTACAAACATGGAGAAAGTCTCTCAATAGAGTTGCTGACAGGGTGAATGAGGGATCAGTGAATAAAGGCTCTTGTATCTGACTCTGGTTTCCATTTATAGGGAGGCTGCTGGCTGATAACTGTGGGTGGGGAAGAAGCCTCCTCTTTTCCCCTTGAGCTGGTATCAGAAGAGGGATTTTCGTGTCACGTGAGAAGCAGGAAGTTGTGGCACATGTAGGAAAACCAGGTGCAGAAAACTCAGAGGGGAGCTCTGGCATGCCCCCCTAAGTTATAAGACCCCCTCAAACCCAGCGGAAGCAGAGCCCTGGCCCTTACGTCCTCACCCATGGCCACTTCCCGGGTTCAGCCCGCTCACTGGCACACATGGAGATCTAGCAACCAGCATGTGTTTCTGGTTCCCAGGCTTGATTTTCCTTCCTTCCACTTCCCCTCCTTAGTTGACTCCTAGCCCATGTGCGGAGTCCCTCCCTGTCCTGGATGCTGACCCCACTTCTTCATCACTGCCAGCCAGTCAGCACCCTCCTTAGAGTAATGAGCGACCCGGAAAAACACACACATTCATTTTTCATAATATTTTCCAATGTTCTCAAAACAAACAAGCCAACAAAGAACAATAAAAAAAGAGTCCAGGAACCTATTGCCTCCCTCCCACCAATAAGGAGGAATGCCACTCTAGAAAAGAGTGTCCATGTGGCAAATGAGGACAGAAACAAGGGCAGAGGAATGACAGTAAAATGAATGGGGCAGCTTCCCACTGCCCACAGAATCACAAGAGCCATGCCTTTTCAGGGGGGAAAGGATAGTAGCCATATGACAGTGCAGACACAGCTCAGTCCCCCATTCCGCACCCCAGAGGGTCTGCAGAGCACAAGACACGAGCAGCCCTAGAAACCAGGACAGCACACCTGCTGAGCCAGACCCTGGACACCTGTTGTGTCTTCTTAGTGTATACTTTTATTTATAAGAAAAGAGTAACAAAGTCTAAAAATTAAAATGCATTTGGTTATATGTTCAATAATAGCCTTTAATGAAAACAGTAGAATGATAGGGAAGAAAGGATATTCCTCAAAGTCCCAGGAATTTGATCCCACAATGACTCTCTCCTTCCTGGAGTATCAAAAGCACATCTTTCTGAACATGGTGGAAGATGGTTGGAAGGACTGACAAACAGATTAGAAAGCAGGAAGAGAGTGATGCTATGAATGGAGCAGAGGAGGCAGGTGAGGCACTGAGGAGACAGAGCCTTAAATCACATTTGACAGAAGGGGCCCAAGATAGGGAGGGTAACCCCTTGTGGCTGCAGAACCACCAATGCCCAGTCAGGCCTTCAAGCAGTGAGTACCATGCCTCTGTGGATGGGTGCTTGGAGATGGACACTGGGATGAGCCCTGTATGCAGGCTCGAGAGGTGTCTCAGGGAGGGCATACAACCATTTACTTGAGGAAAGCTTTGAAATCCACGAGAAAATAAATAAAACAAAACCATCATCAGTGAGAAAAAGCACAAGTTTTAAAATAGCTTTTTGTTTCTCTGGAGGACCTGAGAATACGTCCCACAGAGCCACACAGTTTTAGGCTTAGTAGCATCACATACTCTCTAGTATAAAGAGGGGACATACAGTGTCAGTGTCACTGGGCACTCGCCTTTTAGGCACATTAAAATCCATGGTTACATGATTATATTACAAAATTCTAGGAGTTAGGAAAGGCAAGTGGGCCTTCACATCTTAAAGAAGGAAAGTGTGAGACAAAGCACCCAGTGACCCTCCAGGAGTCTTCCCCTCCCGCTGCAGGGCTCTTTACACTATACTCAGGTATCTTTGCAACCAGCAGGAGGAGATGGGAAGGGGGGCCAACCATCAGCATCCGATGCAAGGAGCAGTTTCTGCCAACAGTGCATATACGAGGACCCAGGGCTTAAAGTTGGAAAACTGAGACTTAAATTGTAACCCCTATTTTACTGGCTGTGGGATCCTGGACAAATCTCCACATCTCAGGCTTTAGACTTCTCATCTGAATAATGCACAGGATTTCAATGAGGGCTAAATGGGACCCATAAAAAATGTACATACAGCTCAAAGGCTGACACACAAAAGACCATGTTCCCAATCTACTTTCCTTCCCCACCATGGTCCCCTCCCACACTGTCACCCTGGTACCCAATAGATACACACCTGCTCCTGACCATGGATCCACCAGAGGGAAAGAGCTCCCTCCTTGATCTGCTAATCAACATCACCGCGTCTATCCTCAAACGCACTGCCCCATACAAGAGAGAGGACCCACCATCATTTCACTCACACCTCCCCCTCCACACACACACACACATCTGGAGGCGCCAAGCTCAGTCCTGGCAGGTCAGGTAGCTGTCACTCATAGCCTGAGGCCTGATGGAGCAGGATCAACTAGTGAGCGCATCTATCACTGTCTTCCAACTCCCATCCCTCAATCTACATGCCCCCGAGTGGACTTCCCTCCAAAATGCTCCCTCTACCTCCTGACTGTTACTGATACAAGGTGGCTGTCCCCCTCAGGATGCCACTGTCGTTTAGAAATGTTACCTTTGTCTGACCGGCCCCGTTTTGGTAACGGGAGTCTAAAGTACTATGAGCACAGCACAGCGTTATTGTCTGAGACAAAAGACACACTGAGGTCCAACTGGGGCTGCTGGTGTCCTACCCGCTCCACCAACTTCAGAGGTCTAGAAACAACTCACATCTGTACCGTATTTTAAATTCTTGAAATCTCCAACTCCTCCACATCCATTTTATCATTTCAACACCCTATGCTGTTAAGGATAGCACATAGTATTATTTGACACTTGTGATACTGTGATTTATAATAAATATATATTTGGTTTTGTTCCATACCTGGCACAGAGCTTCTAAAACCCTTGGAACTTCCTAATAAGAGTAATCACCCCTGAATTTATGTTAATGAGGTGACTTCTGGAAAGCACCCAAGGATGGGGGCTGGTTACCAAGGGTACAAACCATGTGATGAGAGGGTTAGAACTTTTGGTTCCACACCCCTGACTTCTGGGGAGGAAGAGAGGCTGGAGGTTGAGTTCAATTACCAATGGCCAATGGTTTCATCAGTCAGGTCTACGTGATGAATCCTTCATGAAAACCCCAAAAGGATGGGGTTTGGAGAGATTCTATATTGGTGAACACGTGGATGGGGGAGGGCTGTGCATGAGGAGACAGCACAGAAGCTCTGCACCCTTTCCCCATGCCTCATCCTGTGCATCTCCTTCTGGTTATTCCTGAATTATATACTTTTATTTAAAAACCAGTGATGAAGTAAGTCAAATGTTTCTCTGAGTTCTGAAAACTGCCCTAGCAAATTAATCAAACCTGAGGAGGGGGTCGAGGGAACCTCTGACTCATAGCTGTTGGTCCAAAGCACAGGAGACGACCTGGACTTCAACATCTGAAGTGGAGGACTAAATGGACTGAGCCCTTAACCTGTGGGATCTAACATTATCTCCAGGTAGACCATGTCAGAATTGAATTGTAGGGCACCCAAATGGTGTCAGAGAACTAGTGGTGTGGAAAAAACTACCATACATCTGGTGACCAGAGTGCCCGTATTATTCAGAATATTGTGTGCAGTTTAAAGGAAAACAACAGGGTTTTTACCTTATAACACTATTTTATAAATAAGGAAATAGAAGAAAAAACAGAAATCTTTTGTCCCAGTTGTCACAGCTCAGCAGTGATAGAGTGGAGTTAAAATTTAGTCTCGGACCTGCTAGGTTCCTCAATCAGAATATTATACTCCAGAAGGTAATAAATGAAAACAAAGATGAGAGGAGGAAATCTTGTTACCTGATTCCAAAGTACTGTTTTCATCCGAGGGACCAACACCAGCATTTGATGACAACACTGCCACAAAACCTTCCTTAAATTCCTCAAAGTTAACCTGGGTGAATTTAAGAGAAGAGGTCAACATTACTTTCAACAAAATACACATATAATCCATCAACCTTTTCTTTTTTTCTCAGATGGAAACATCTTATTGTTGCCTTTTGCATTAAGAATATTCATTTTATTTTTTCAAAAATTTACTTAAGATTTTTAAAAATAGTAAGAAATCAAGATGGTGGCCGCAAGGGAGGATGCTAAACTCACCCACTCCCATGAGCACACTGAAACATACATCTATATATAGAGCAATTTATTCCTGAGAGACAACTGAGGGCTGATTGAACAGCTTCTGAACAATAGATGAGAGAAAAAGACCAAATAGAGAAGGCTGGGAAACTGTGGAATTCCTCCAGGATCTGCATGATTTCTCCAGGATTGGAGGTGCCCCTGAGCGCCACTGTTTACACCCCCATTCACTTCCATAGGGCAGCTGGAGGCTCAATCCATGTGCTCTGGCCTACCTCCAAGATCACCACAATGCATTCCCAGCCACACTGCCCACAGCTTATTTTGGATCCAAATAAAGGGAGCAAACAGGATCAACAGGGTATTACTACATGAACTCGGCCTCCCCTCATGGAGCTGCTATAGCACAGTACACCAGTGTCCCCAGGTGCCATGGGCACCTGCTTGGCTCCAAATGGCCTGCCTCCCAAAACCACCCAGCAGACACAGCCTACAAAGAGGTTGCTTCTACACAAGACTACTTTTTCAAGACTGGGTAAGCTATTTTGTCTAATTCGTATAAACAAACATAGAATGGTGAACAAAATTAAAAGACAGAAGAATATCTCTTGCATAAAGGAACAAGAAAAATCCCCCCTCCCCCGGAGGGGGGGAGCGTGCGAGGAACCTAATGAAGCAGAGATAAGTAATTTGCCTGACAAAGAATTAAAAAAAACAATCATAAGGATACTCACCAAACTTGAGAGTGGAATAGAGGAGCTTAGGGGAAACTTCAACAAAGACTTAGAAAGTATAATAAAGAACGAAGCAGAGCTGAACCATACAATAATACACTAGAGTAAATCAACAGCAGGTTACCTAACACAGAAGAAAAGATCGGCAACCTGGAAGACATCCTAGTGGAAAGCAACCAATCAGAACAGCAAAAAGAAAAAAAAAATTTTTTTAATGAGGATATTTTAGGGGACTTCTGGGACATCAAGCACACTAACATTCACATTATAGAGATGTCTTAAGGAGAAGAGAGACAGGACCAGAAACTTTATTGGAAGAAATAATGGCTGAAAAATTTCCTAACTTGGAAAAGGAAACAGACATCCAGGTCCAGGAAACACAGAGAATTCCAAACAAGATAAACCCAAAGAGACCCACACCAAGACATACTATAATTAAAATGGTAAAAGTTAGGGGCCGGCCGAGTGGCTCAGTCGGTTAAGAGCGTGATCTCTGAGCAACAGGGTTGCTGGGTCGCCATGATCCAGTGAGCTACGCCTGAGCTGAGCTGCCCTGAGTGGCCCATGGGTGGCCGGATGGCTCAGTGGTTAGAGAGTGCGCGCTTAGCAACAACGTTTCCGGTTCAACTCCTGCATGGGATGGTGGGCTACACCCACCTGAAACTAAGATTGAACACAGCACCTTGAGCTAAGCAGCCACAAGTTGCTGACAGGCGGCCAGAGGTGACTGGACTTGGATCTGAGCTAGCTGTGCCCTCCACAACTAAGATTGAAAAACAACAACTTGGCTGTTTCCCTCCCCCAATTCCCCAATAAAATCTTTTAAAAAAAAAGAAAACCCCTTAAGGATATCAGCTGATTTCACATCAGCAATTTTACAGGCCAGAAGGCAGTGTCGGGATGTCTTTAAAGAGCTGAAATAAAGGAACCTACAACCTAGAATAATTTACAGAAAGGTTACCATTCAGAAATGAAGGAGAGATAAAGAGTTTACCGGACAAGTAAAAACTAAAGGAGTCTATCACCATTAAACCAGCTTTATAAGAAATGTTAAAGGTTCTTCTTTAAACACAAAGGCAATAACTAGAAATAAGAAAATATAAGATAGGAAAAAAATCTTACAGGTAAAGTCAAATATTTAATAAATAGAGTAAATCAGACATTCAAAAACAAAGTGTGCAGGGGGTAATACAAATGTAGTCCTTTTGGAATATAGTTGAACTTAAATGCCTATCACCTTAAAATAGGCTGCTATAGATACAGAATGATATACATAAACTTTATGGTAACCAAAACTCAGAAACCTACAAAGGACATACACAAAGAATAAAGATAATGGAACCTAAACAAAACACTAAAATCGCTTCTCGGCCTTTTGGCTAAGATCAAGTGTAGTATCTGTTCTTATCAGTTTAACAAAACACTAAAGAAAACCAGCAAACCATAAGAGACAGGATCAAGACAAAAAGAAAGGAACAGAGGAGAACTACAAAATCAACCAAAAAACAATAAACAAAATGACAATAAGTATATACTTATCAATTACTTTAAATGTAAATGGATTAAATACTCCAACAAAAAGACACAGGGTGGCTGAATGGATTAAAAAACACAACCATATGAATGCTGCTTAAGAGACTCACTTCAAATAGAAAGACACATACACACTGAAAGTACACAGATGGAAAAGGATATTCCATCAAAATAGAAATGAAAAAAGAGCTGGGGTAGCAATACTCTATAAGACAAAATAGACTTTAAAACAAAGAATGTAAAAACAGACAAAGAAGGACATTACATAACAAGAAAGGGGCTGATGCAAGATGTAACAATCATAAATATCTACACACCCAACACAAGAATACCTAAATATATAAAACAAATAATGGACATAAAGGGAGACATTTGCAGTAATTCAATTATAGAGAAATTTTAATACCCTACTCACATCAATGAATAGATCATCCAGATAGAAAAGTAATGAGGAAATAGTGGTCTTATATGTCACATTACACCAGATGAACAAAATAGATATTTATGGAACATTTCATCCCAATCCTGCAAATACACATTTTTTTCAAGTACACATGCAATATTATCCAGGATAGATCATGTATTAGGCCACAAAACAAGCCTCAATAAATTCAACAAGTCGGAAATTATATCAAGCATCGTTTCCAACCACAATGCCATGAAACTAGAAATCAACTAAGGAACAAAACTGGAAAAAACACATATACATGGAGACTAAACAATATGCTACTAATCAACTAATCAAGGAGGAAATCAAAAACTACCTTTGGACAAATGAAAATGAAAAAACAACTTTTTAAATTTATGGGATGCAGCAAAAGCAGTTCTAAGAGGGATGTTCATAGCTACACAGGCCTACCTCAAGAAACAAAAAAATCCCAAATAAACAATCTCACTTTATACCTAAAGAAACTGGAAAAAGAAGAACAAACAAAACCCAAAGTAAACAGAAGGAAGGAAATCATTAAGATCAGAGTGAAAAAAAATTTTTAGAAAAACAATAGAAAAGATCAATAAAACTAAGAGCTGGTTCATTAAAAGGATAAAATTGACAAACCTTAAGCAAAACTTATCAAGAAAAAAAAGAGGCCAAATAAATGAAATAATATTAAAACAGAAGTTACAACCAACACCACAAAAATACAAAGAATCATTAAATAATACTACAAACAATTATATGCCAACAAATTTGGCAATCTAGAAGAAACTGATAAATTTCTAGAAGCATATAACCTTCCAAGACTGAACCAGGAAGAAACAGAGAATCTAAACAGAACTATTAGTTGCAGAAATTGAAGCACTACTGAAAACAACAACAAAAACCCCTCCCAACAAACACAGAGGGCCAGACAGCTTCACAGGTGAATTCTATCAAACATTTAAAGAATTAATACCTATCATTTTTAAACTATTTGTTTAAAAATCGAACAGGAAAGGAACACTTCCAAACTCATTCTACGATGCCAGCATTACCCTGATTCCAAAACCAGGCAAAAAACAAAACAGAAATTACAGGCCAATATCCTTAATGAACATAGATACAAAAATTCTCAACAAAATATTAACAAACTCAATTTGACAATACATTAAAAGCGTTATACACCATAACCAAGTGGGATTTATCCATGGATACAAGAATGGTTCAACATCCATAAATCAATGAACATGATACATCACATTAACAAAATTTTTAAAAAATCATATGATGTCTCAATAGATGCAGAAAAAGAATCTGACAAAATTCAACATCCTTTTATGACAAAAACTCTCAATAAAGTGGGTGTAGAAGGACCATACTGCAACATAATAAAGGCCACATATTACAAACCCATAGTTAATATCATACTCAGTGGTAAAAAGCTGAAAGCTTTTCCTCTAAGACCAAGAACATGACAAGGATGACCACTCTCACCACTTCTATTCAACATAGTATTGGAAGCCCTAGCCACAGCATTCAGACAAGAAAAAGAAATAAAGGAAAGAAAGAAATAAAGAAATAAACTCACACTATTTGAAGATGACATGATAATACAGAGACAACCCTAAAGCTCCACCAAAAAAAGATGAGAACTAATAAATAAATTCAATAAAGTTCCAGGATACAAATATCAATATACAGAAACCTGTGGAGTTTCTGTACAACAATGATGAATGAATAGGAGGAGAAATTAAGAAAACAGTCCCATTTACAATCGCATCAAAAAGCATAAAATACCTAAAAAAAAAAAAAATTTTTCAACCAAAGAGGTGAAAGACCCAAACTCTGAAAACTTTAAGACACTGCAGAAAGAAATTGAAGAGGATACAAATAATAGAAGGATATGCCATGCTCATGTTTTGGAAGAATATTGTTAAAATGTTCTTAACTACCTAAAGCAATATACGGATCCAATGCAATCACTATTAAAATACCAATGATTTCAAACTATGCTACAAAGCTACAATAATCAAAACAGTATGATATTGACATCATACTGTTTTGATTATTGTAGCTTTGTAGCATAGTTTGAAATGGAGTGACTAGGAATAAATCCTCTCTTAT